ATGGTTCTATTATATCACCAGCTTTTCCTGTATCTTTTTTTACTGAGTCAGCTTTTACATCATTCACTATTCCTGGCTACGCTAGTCTCTAAAGAACCAGTAATTGGCAAGTTACCAACATTTATGACCTGCCAAAATTCAGTCAGAAAGAAGTCAGTAATGAACAGTGACTTCTTAAATCACTCTGTTAAAACAAAGTGTGCATTTGGACGTTTGGACATTTGCTTATTAAACAATTCACTGTGATATCAAGCCTGTACTATATTGTCTGGTTATGGAAATAGCTAAAAGCCCTTAATAATGGGACCACACAAAAAGGTTATCATGCAGTTTAAAAGTATATGTATCACCAATATAAATGAAATTCTAGCACTAATCAAGTCAGCCATCACTATTAAATCAAAATATAATACTCACAAAAGGGCTTTAATAACTGTTTTCAGAAATGAGCATGCAATACAATATAGCTTCAAAGTAGTAGTTTCCTTACCTTTTTCTTCTTGTCTTTAAACTGCTTTATTAAAGTGATCAAATGCTCCACTAGAAACATGAAGTACAAGCCTCCAAGTGCTGTAAGTCCTTTCCATGTAGAATCCAGGTAAGCACTCTCCTCTGTACTTGGAAACACAGGATGTTTGTGCATAGAGCCTCTGTTTTGTTCAGTCAGAGGCTTTTCATGGTGATGGTGATGGTTTCCATGAGACTAAAGGGAGAACCAAATGGAGAAAGTTATCACATTCAAAAGAACCGTAACATAAGAAACATAGAAAGTATTTTTCCATATTATTTTCCTCATGTCTGGAGGCCAGACTTGACAATTCTCACAGGGTAAATGCTCTGCATACAGACTAAAACAATTACAAAGAAATCCATTGACTGGAAATTTGTTGATGGGAAGAAATATTGTAAGGACTCAGAACAGGCCTGGTATTCACCCATTCACTGAGGCTACATTATTATACTTTTCTGAAAGCTGAAAAAAGTTACTTTTGGGAGGGGAAGTGGGAAAATGTCTAAGAGCTTCAAGAAGGGAATTTGATTGTTAAATTTCTACCTATTTCATTGTCCATATTACATAAAAACAATTCCAAAGTCTATCAAGTA